ATGATTTGATTTGAAACTTTTACAAAATAGCAAATATATAAATGTACAGCAAATCGAACAAACATATAAAATGGGCCGAAATGTATAAATGCTATAAAGCATGGGTCAGTGAAACAAGTACAGAGGACAACTTTTAAAACACGAGGTTTATGGCCGCCCAAAGTCTCAATAACGTCACCTCCACCTAGTAATAAAACTATGAAATATGAAGTGTGAAACAAATTATGAAATATGAAGTGTGAAACAAATTATGAAATATGAAGTGTGAAACAATCAAGAAATAGCTCGTATATAAATTATAAAATTGTCTCTCAAATACAGATAACGTCCGAAAACTATTAAGATACACAATACTCATTCAAATACTGATCAGTGTCCGAGAGACATGAATTGCTTCATGGTGGTTTCTTATCACGGCTACAGACTTTCTCGTACCGGATATAGTGGTCGAGATGAGTCTGTTCAGCCCTCTTCTTCTTCAGGTCGGTAACCAGATGTTTCCTCGTTGCTCGTTCTTCGCTAGATCTATCTGGACAGATCCATACATTTTTGTGGGTCTCAACTAGCCTCAGTCTTCCTGTTTTCATCAGAATCTGTTGAACCGCTGTTGAGCTTGGGACAGTGATTTTTACTGGTCGGATAGTCGTACTACCTGGCCGCTTCCTGCCGACTCTAGTCGCTTTGAAGTGAGGTTTCTCCCCAATCTCCTCCAGAACTGCGGTTACTAGCACGGCGCTGGAAGCTGTTCTCCCTCTTCTTCTTTCAACCCAAACACAATCAGGTTCTTGCTCCTGTCCTCCTCTGCAGCCACACTCTTCATCACCTTCTTCAGGATGTTACTGTTGCAGACCGTACCACTTGCACTGTTCTGTTGTACAGTTGCACTGTAGCTCTTAATCCCTGACTCCACCGTTGTTTGTACTGTCTCCTTAACCGACGTCTTAAGCAACTGTAGTTCTTTGTCCTTCTGCACAAGCAGCTGGCCCTGCAGCCTGATCAACTTATCCTTGTCTTCTAGCGATTCCGTCTTCAAGAAATATATGATCTCCTCCATTTTAGCCATCTGGCATTCATGCCGTTGAACGAGGTCTATTGCTTCCACAAGCCGAAGTGCTTTTTATAGACAGTTGGAGCCATAAATATTTCTCTGTCCATATCTCCAACAATATCTCCTTCGTCTATTTTCAGTTCTTTTCCCAGCGCAATGAACCACTTAGTACAACTGTCCTTCAATTTTGTCTGTTCATCATACTCGAATCCTTGAATTTGGTCCAGAGATTGGGTCACCTTACGATCATCCTCCATAGTGTACTTGTATAGGAATGTACACACGCAAAGGCTAACTACGCGGTAGCAGCAAACTGATTTTGGTATAAAAACAGATTTTTAGTCTAACGCGTCCTATAAATGTCCCCATTCTCCAACTGCTGCTGCTGGTGAGCGCTCCTACTAGTGCACGATAAAATAAGTTGCATAATGATTGTATATGAAACAAAACATTTTATTTGGTCGGAAGGTCATAATTGTGTGTTACACTAGGGCCTGTCGTGAATCGTGATACTATGGATCACTGTTACACACTTGTGTGTAATACAGCAGCTGATAACGTAATCTGTAGTAAAAGTAGTGAATTGTTGGGACTGATTTGTGGCGAGATAGCTTAATGGTATAGCATCCGAGCGTTCATCGGGAGGTCCTGGGTTCAATTCCCGCTCTCTGCACATCTCACCCTGACTTTTCACGAAAACTTACTACCTTACTGCTTAGAATTAGTTTCAGTGATCTGCATGATTTAGACCACTGACCCAACCCGGAGAATGGTTAGATTTAGTTCGCGCCATTAATTTGGATGGAGCTGTATCCTTGGAAAATCCTGGCACATTTTCGTGTATTGAAAGAGGATTTTGTCACTTTCAACCAAGATTCACTGAGCTTGCTGCCTATTTGTGTGTTGAGGGAATACCCTTTGACTTTTTGGCATCTGCCCAGAGAGACCTTTTAATCGAAATCATGCGCCAAGGTGTAAGATGAGCCAGGAGTTCAACAATGTCGTGTTCATGAATATGGACTCCATAGTATGCTCCATATTATGGACTTGGTGCATACTACAGACTACTCAAGCTCATAAAGGCCAATAACACGGACAAACCGTTATAACTTAAACCTTCGGCTTGAGATATTCTCGACGCCCCAAATTATCAAAATTATCCTAATTTTGATTCAAACTCCTCAGTCCTCCCAAGACTAGCTTTAATCCTTTGATCGCGCGATCGCCGTTCTTCTGTATTTTGGGGGACAGGGCTACCAGGACAATGAGTTACACTGCTTGTCAGACCGCTCAGTCTGAAGCATAGAGCATGCACGAATATTAATCCCAATGAATTATTCAGGTACACTAGCTAGTTATATATCTTGTGGTTTGTATTATGCTGTCGCGTGACAAGATTTAGAGTCCTGGAAAGTGGAAAACGATTGGCCGGACGGCTAACACTTTGCTTTAATGTTTAACAGGCTTAGTTCAGTCACGTGAAAACTTTTAGAACGAATACTGCAGCGAGCAGGATGATGCCATAAGGCCCACTGGTCGCTCTGTTTTGTGATAGAAAATTCTAGAAGCTTTACCACTCATTGGAATTTGGCATTGAGTATGGTTTTTATGAGCTGTCAGCCTTCAACTTTTAAACAAGCCAATATTCAATATTATGTTTTAATATAATGTGTTTTCTCTTTTTCCCCATGCACTGCACCACCTCGCCGCAAAATGCAAATGATCACATTGAATACCATCCCGTCCAAAGCCACGTTGCAAAGTCATGACCGTCTTATTTGTCCTTAGTTAACGCAATATAGGTACTAAATTACAGGAATAGGTCGCACTTGAATCAGTGGTGTAACGTTGCCTGTTAGCGCCGAAAAAGCGCTCCCTGTTGATGCCCCCTTCCCAATTTTGGCGCCCCTCCCTAAAATTGAACAAAATAGGTGATTTTAGAGGATACGCCGGTAAAAATTTCTAAAAAATGTGTTTCTAGAGCAAACGCGCAGTTTTGCTAGTACTTCAGTCTTTCAGTTAAGTTTTTCAAATATAGTTTTTAAAAATTATCACACATTCAAACGACAATTTGGCCAAGGATGTTAAGTACGTAGCGTATCTTATAAACATACGGCATACGAGCATATTCGGACAAAATTTAACATCAAACTTTTTTTTTCTAAAGCTGCAAAATGTGCCGTATTTCACGTATGTCTTACTCTTAGAATTTATACAAACGGCGTATTTTCGACCGGTTTTTCGGAATCGGCGTACTTAACATCAATGATTTTTTCGCCCCCCTAAGATGCAAGATGAAATTTGTGATAGAGCCGAACCATTTTTATTTTTTTTATTTTGAATGCAACTTTTTGTTTAAATGTTGCCTCTATATGAGTATATCTTACTTATAATTCAAAGAATTCCCTTTGTACAATTTTTGTACAATGTACGTTTGTACGACCACCCACGTTAATTAAATCAGTAACCTGGGGACCTCAGGCTATATTGTTCATAAACATATACTTATAGACTAGAGCTTCGGCGGAATGACATGGACAGGCTGAGCGCGGCCCAGTATTGCAGTAAACGTAAATCAGACGAAAAATATGAACTTGCGTAGTAACCATGGTAACGAGGGTTATTACACGCATGTGCACGTGCAATGATTGTTTTAACATCATTTTGATCCGCTTTGTTGATATTACGCTTAGCTGTGTTTAGTACGAACAATATTTTAATTGGCTGTATCTTCGGTTGTGTAGGATATTTTTTGACGCGATTTAAACTTACTATGTACTAAGAAAAAATACTATTAGCTTCCTCCCTGTGACCACGGGTTTTCTAGTCTTACTTATAATTCAGAGAATTATCTTTGTTTGTCGTTTATAATTATACGACCGCCCACGTGCAAATCAAACGAGAAATAAGAAGTTGCGTAGTTACCATGGTAACGAGGATTATTACACGCACGTACGTACGTGCACGTGCAATGATTGTTTTAACGTCATTTTGATAAGTTTTGTTGATATTACGCTGTGTTTAGTACGAGCAACATTTTAATTGGCTGTATCTTCGGTTCATGTTTCATGTATAGGATATTTTTTGACGCCATTTAAACTTACCAACAAAATACACTATTAGCTTCCTCCCTGTGACCACGGGTTTTCTAGTCATATAATAATTCAGATAATTATCTTTGTTTGTACAATGTCTGTACGACCGCCCACTTGCAAATTAGGTAAGAAGCAAAAGGTTGCATAGTAACCAGGGTAACGAGGGTTGTTACACGCACGCGCAAAGATTGTTAAAACGGCATTTTTATCGGCTTTTTTTGATATTACGTTGTGTTTAGTGCGAGCAACATTTTAATCGGCTGTATCTTCGGTTGAGTAGGATATATTTGACTCGATTTCAACTTACTAACAAAAAATACTATTAGCTTCCTCCCTGTGACCACGGGTTTTCTAGTATCATATAATATGATGTTTGCCTCTAGAAAGGTATAAGGTATAAGAAAGGTATAAGGCAAAATCAATCGCAAGATGGTGATTGTAGACCCGATTATTTAGTCTTTAGAGTAGGGCAGAATGGTGTAGAGCATGGGCTTTCTGCTAGTTATCACTCGCCGATGATACTTGAAACTTTGAAACGTTTGGGAAAGAGCCCGGCCAAGAAAGTATGTAAAATGTCAATAGTATAAGTTTCTTTCGATGTATTTTGGACACTGATTCCGTATTACCTGCTATAAATATATAAGGTTGCTATAAATGTATAGGATTGAAACGCTTGCCCGAGAAGTTATCGGCAAAAACTGTTTTGGTCACACGACAGGCTTGTAAAACACGAATTACGGTCAGCTTAGGGGTCATGGTTACTGGATAGGATCAGGGTTTATAAAACCGCTGCAAATTCATTTAATTCACGTGATAGCGCTCTGGCGAGTTAATTAGTAAACTTGTATTATGTAATTTCCTCAATCTTCAGTTGTTGATATTTCGTTTAAAGTTAAACATCGATTTTTCTAACAATGTAGAATGGCAGACATGCGGAATCTTCAAACGAAGTTAATATTCCTACAAATCATCTCGCTATCTCTCTGTGGTAAGCTACATGACACATGAGCTGCTATTTTACTTATCATTGATCAAAAATAGATCGATAATTTATCGTTATAGAAAATAGAAATAGTACCACTTATACCCGGTGAAATGAGATAATATAGTATTCAATATTTTTCACCAAAACCAAAAATTGGGTTGATTGGACCATCGACCGTATCTCCTTTTTCCAGACACAAAGGAAGTAGATCAATTTAAGTTACCGTTCTCAAATTTATAGAAAATGATACCGGTATCAGCATTGTAACAGTCTGTATGCTTTGATCTTCCGCAAATACAACAAGGTACGGTGTAAAGTTCTAAAATGTCGTTGTAAGAAAAATTTTCACAGAGCTGTTTTCGTCGGGAAAATTTGAATTACATGGTTCCTGCAAACCGGATAACAGGTTAAATCAAATGATTACATAATATACTGATTAAAAGTTTACCATAATGATATTTATGCGATGTATTGCATAAAAGTATACCTTAAGGTCAATAAATTTGGTTCACAATAAATTTGGTTACAAACATTTTGGTAATAGTAATACCATAATTTTAGTCACAAATTTCGCAAATTTGTATACTACCTATGGGAAAAGGAAGTAAGAGCCATACTATGACTGTTGTCACGAGTAAAGGCACGGCCTCTTGACACACTGTGCCATTTGTCATGATTTTAGGCTCAATCTCTAAACATACTATGATAATTGGGATGAAAATAGTAAAATGTCAGTGCTGTCACGTCGGCCGGGTGGTTTAGTGGTTTTAATACATTTACTTCCCACACGGACGACTGGTATGGGGTACGATTCCCAGTGGGGACCAATTCAGTCGGATGCAGTTCGGCCACCAAACCATGGTTTGATGCTTTCATTAGAACTTCTATTCGAACAAATTTTTGGCGGAAAAAATTTTAAATTTTCGAAAGTTTTTTCAAAAACTACCTTTCCCAGTGTTTCAAGAAATTCCGATCATTTTGAGCCAATGAACATTTTTATGATTTTTAGTTACTTGCTAATTAGTAATTATCCAATTATCTAATTGTCTGACATGAACATTTTTCTTACTAAAGTCGATATGATGATTACCCTCTATTAATTCGTATCCTTCTACGATGTTCACAGCTGAAGATATTTGACAAACAAGAAAGGAGGTAAAAAGTGGCAAAAGTGGCAAAAAGTGGCCTTAAGACACTTGGACAATTTTGGAAAAGTTGGCCACCCGAATGAAACTTAAAATTGAACCAAAAAACGTCATAAATCCTCTGGAATCTTCTTCTGTCAGTAGATCGAATTTTTTAGACGGATCTGTCTGTACTATAGTACTATCGTCTATCTTTGCACTCTGCACTGCAAATTTCCATATCACGCAAAATATTGACCTTATTAGGTAATCGTGACGTCGTGTTATCCATGACAGTTGGCACGAGTACTGAATAGAATGTGCCTGCAGTCACGTCAGGCACGGATATCAGCTAGGTACGGCTTTTGAAAAGCCGAGTGCCTGAGGAGTTGTCACGTATCCTTGGCACGCCCTATAAACACACTACGTACACAATATGGTCATTACATTTACATCTGACCGCACCATGACAACAGTCATGGTGACAACAGTCATAGTATGGTCCGGCCCTTAAATTCTGAGAATAAACTATGGGCGACATTCATACAATTCCTTTACAATTTTGCTAGAACACCTCTTCTTTAAATTCATGATATTCATTAATCGTTGCTCAGTAGTCATGAGTTAAACATACAATTAACAGGTTGGTTACCAGTCGAACGTAACGTGAAAATAGAGTGGGATATTGAGTCGACACCTTTAGAAATTCAAACTGATAGTGTGCTGGGGAGTGGCGATGGGGTGATAGTGTACTTCTACTCTGCTGGGGGAGAGAGTGCAGGATCAGTCTGGCTCTACTTCACCTCTACTCCAAAATACCATCTCAGCTACTGCACATCCTGGACTAACCTCCCTGTTAATCCCCCCTCTCCTAATGACAAGGTGTGGCGTATCACTCTAACCAGAACTGCAGGTGTTAGACTAGTGATACACTGTAACGAGGTAGAGGTGCTCAACATACTGCTCTCTCAATCAACGTGTAGTGACAGTGACTGGAGCACGATCTGGAACAGGGACGTGACAAAGATAATGTTCCTTTCCCTAGACACAGCATCTGATTACTACAGACCACAACCAGGTGACTAATAACAACAAGCATTGGTTTAACAAAGTAACAATAACTTTAATTTACAAATAAGCCAACTTGCTGATTCTCTCGTAAGCTCGTGATTACGTGTTTTCTGTCTAAATTTCAAGTATGCCATTTAGTTATTTAACATAAACACATATATTATAGGATATGGGATATAGGATAGTTAGTACATATTGTTATTTATAACTTAATAAAGTGGTCATCATTTTATCAATTTCTATTTTACGAATGAGATAAAATCAGATTCTTCCAGATTGCAAAATGGCTAACTATAATTTAGAAATATTGCATATTTTGTAGTAGACATCATGGAGACAAGCCATTTCCAGCTACTAAAGGTTGAAACAATTATCAATTGTAAACTGATGTTTTTACAAAATATCTTGAACATAAGCAGTATAGTAGAGGCTCTTACGGGCATTGTCTGCTCGATACGTTAGGGACCCCAGATACACCTTACTAGACGTATTTTTGACCGTAGAATCGATTGAAAGTGGTTTCAAGATGATTGGACTGATTGTTCTGGGGTAAAATCGCAAAAAACCGATTTTTGGGCCAAAAATAGGCCAAAAAACCATGTTTTTTGATATTTTGAGCAAGTTAATTTTGTTGGCATGTCGGCAAAACTTGCATAAAGATAGCTAAAAGACAGCCGCACAAGATTGTATAAAAATAAAACAAATCCCTCTATTTGTTCTGAGGTAAAAATCCAAAAAAGTGGTAAAAATTTTGACTTTTTTGCTTTAAGTTTGAATAATTTTTTGCAGTTGTATTAAATCAACCCAAAAATAGTCACATCGTGTTTGCCTAAATTTTTCCTTTCCGAGAAGTACCCACTTCATATACTTAATCGAAGTTTGAATATTGTCACTCCGCAAGCGTTTTTGCCAAATTTTCGACGCGCACTACGCGCAAAAGCATTTAGTTGTTATCAATTGGCACCCGCGCGTTCATCATAAATTTCAAACAGCTATAACTCAGCGAGATTATGTCCGTTCTAGCTCATATTTTCACACTAAATAGAAAATAATGTGATCTTATTGCTGACAAAATATGGATATAATTACTTTATTTGCCTTAGAGTAATAGACTGTCAAAGTTTAAAACGCGCATCGGTATAGCACGTGACTAATAAGGCCAAACTTATACTTCTTAACATATTATCGATCCTTAGACATCATACTATTGTGTCCAATTAGCGGTTAGGTCTCTAAACTCGTAGCAGAAAACACGTCTTTTTGCCCGTAAGAGCCTCTACTAGTAAAGTATTTTACCAAAAAAACTCAAAACTTTTTTGGTTCAATATTTATTTTGCAGAGTTTACACAATTTGTGCATCGTGCAATGGGCATTGCTTCATAATTTGTTGATGAGGCGAATTTTTAGCGTTAATCCTTATGACTGATAACAATTTGAATTAGTATTGGGCTTAGAACCAAGAAGGAAAATTTGTGGTACGAAATTACAAGAATCGTAAGAGTCTGGGTGGCAATAATTTCTTCGAAAAACTGTGGAATATGTGGATATTTAATTTTTCACATTTCTACTATAATTTAGAGAATTCCCTTTGTACACTGTACGTACGACCGCCCACGTGCAAATTAGATGAAAAATATGAGACCATCATTAAGTTGCAGTCAGAACTACTAGCCTGCAAAAATGAACAGTTGGAATCGTTGCAGACGTCAGTTAAATCGTCAGTCGGAGAGTCTGTCAAGGCTGAATTCCAATCCTTCAGCTCGGTATTACAGGCGAATTGTCCAAAATCTCAGAAGCCTGTCAGTTCTGAAATGATCAAGAAAGCTGTGAAAACTGTGGTACAGGAGGAAGACCGAAACAAAAATCTGATGATTTTTGGTTTATCGGAGCAGGACAATGAGGAGCTCAGCACCGTGGTCAGTGAAGTGTTCTCAGCAATCGGAGAGAAACCCAGAATCGAAGCTAGTAGAGTCGGAAAGCTCAAACCTGGCAAGGCTGTGAGACCAGTTAAAGTGACTGCGGCAAGTGCAACAATTGTTAATCAGATTCTCGCTAAATCGAGAAACCTGCGAGCAACGGAAAAGTTTAAAACTGTTTTTATCAGCCCAGATCGATCTCCAGAACAGAGAGCCAAGCAAAGAGAACTCGTCAGTGACACGAAAAGACTGGTAACTGAGCAGCCTGATAAGCTACACTTTATCAGAAACGGTGCTATAAAGAGTACTGATAAGACTAATAAGACTGCAGAATGAGCTTGAGTGTTTTTAATAATTGATTATTATCACAATGCTGGCAAGCATAACCGTTGCCCTTATATTCACAACATTAGTGTATTCAAGTTTTTGTTGTGTGGAGGATGTTTTTAACTCACTCTTGTGTGCCCAGTCTTGCACTGTCAGTATTTCTCGACACTTCGAGCACACAAAACTGTCAGTTTTCGCGACAATTGTCAGATTTCGTTTTCAGTTCTGTCAATTACTACTAGCTCTACTACTAGTAGTCTACTTCAGCTCACATTAAAGGGAGTTTTCGTCGTGCGTGTAGCGCCCTTCAAGTTTAACTTGGACGGATAGGATTTATAAAACTTCTGATTATAATATTTATACTATATTGTATTTTGTATTTATGTATTTTAGTAAATGGTCATTAGAACCACCGGCACCGTTCGGGCCCAAACAAAATGAATTTGCTTAGTAACTGCATGGTAACGAGGGTTATTAAGTTATTACACGCACATGCACGTGCAATGATTGTTTTAACGTCATTTTGATCGGTTTTGTTGATAATACGATTTGTTTAGTACGAGCAACATTTTGATTGGCTGTATCTTCAGTTGTGTAGGATAATTTTTGACGCAATTTAAACTTACTAACAAAAAATACTATTAGCTTTCTCCCTTTGACCACGTGTTTTCTAGTATTGTTATAAATCTAATGTTATTGTAACACATCTTAACTGCACTTAAATAGTTATATAATAACGATTTTCTTATCTTCCACTACGATTTGCCAATTTTAAATTTATTAATTCCAGAGCCGTGTGGAGAAGGAAAATATCGGAATGATGCTATGACAAGCTGTGAGACATGTGACGCTGGATTGACACCAAACTCTGATAAAACAGCCTGTGGTAAGATAACTTTGAAGCTTATTGAATTAAATATTATTGTTATGTTTTAAATTTGAATTAACTGTGCTATAGAATGAAAACCGACAATATTGGTACTCACAATAACTTCTGACCTACCTATGTGACCTATGTTGAGTTTCGTCAAGACTTGACGGGGCCATCACATCTTCTGACCACCCCATAGCGAAGTAGAGTCTCGCTCGTTTATAATTCTTAATAAGGTAGTTCAAACAAATTGCTGCTTAAAGATTTCCTAATTCTTCAGAGTCATGTCCAGCTGGAAGCTACAAGAACATTGCGATGAACCCATGTGAAGAATGTCCTGATAACACGATCAGTTCAGAAGGAGCAGCCTTGTGCACAGCTTGTGAACTTGGCCAGGAACGAAACTCAGGGAGAACAAAATGTGGTAAGAATTGTTAACAAGAACCGAGCTGAGATGATTATATCTATATTATATAGATGGGCAAAGATATGCTAAGGGTTAAGACGGGATAAGGATAAGGCGCCAGATAGGGCTTAGAATCAAGAAGGAAATTTGTGGTACAAAAAGACAAGAACCGTAAGAGTCTGGGTGGTAATAATTTTATCAAAAAACCGTGGTTGTGTGGATATTTAATTTTTCACCTATCGTTTTAAATCAATTATTTTATTGTAACACATTGCATTTATATTACATCTGAAGTGTACTTATATAATAACGATTTTCTTATCTTCCACAACGATTTGCCATTTGTAACGTTATAATTGTAGAGCCGTGTGGAGAAAAAACATATCGGAATGATGCAATGACAAGCTGTGAGACATGTGACGCTGGATTGACACCAAACTCTGACAAAACAGCCTGTGGTAAGATAACTTTAAAGCTTATTAAATTTAATATTATTGTTATGTTTTAAATTTGAATTAACTGTGCTATAGAATGAAAACCGAGGACATTAGTATTCACAATAACTTCTAAATGAGGTAGTTCAAACAAATTGCTGCTTAAAGATTTCCTAATTCTTCAGAGTCATGTCCAGCTGGAAGCTACAAGAACATTGAGATGAAGACATGTAAAAAATGTCCTGATAACACGATCAGTTCAGAAGGAGCAGCCTTGTGCACAGCTTGTGAACTTGGCCAGGAACGAAACTCAGGGAGAACTAAATGTGGTAAGAATTATTAACAAGAACCGAGCTGAGATGATTATATCTATATTATATAGATGGGCAAAGATATGCTAAGGGTTAAGACGGGATAAGGATAAGGCGCCAGATAGGGCTTAGAATCAAGAAGGAAATTTGTGGTACAAAAAGACAAGAACCGTAAGAGTCTGGGTGGTAATAATTTTATCAAAAAACCGTGGTAGTGTGGATATTTAATTTTTCACCTATTGTTTTAAATCAATTATTTTATTGTAACACATTACATTTATATTACATCTGAAGTGTACTTATATAATAACGATTTTCTTATCTTCCACAACGATTTGCCATTTGTAACGTTATAATTGTAGAGCCGTGTGGAGAAAAAACATATCGGAATGATGCAATGACAAGCTGTGAGACATGTGACGCTGGATTGACACCAAACTCTGACAAAACAGCCTGTGGTAAGATAACTTTAAAGCTTATTAAATTTAATATTATTGTTATGTTTTAAATTTGAATTAACTGTGCTATAGAATGAAAACCGAGGACATTAGTATTCACAATAACTTCTAAATGAGGTAGTTCAAACAAATTGCTGCTTAAAGATTTCCTAATTCTTCAGAGTCATGTCCAGCTGGAAGCTACAAGAACATTGAGATGAAGACATGTAAAAAATGTCCTGATAACACGATCAGTTCAGAAGGAGCAGCCTTGTGCACAGCTTGTGAACTTGGCCAGGAACGAAACTCAGGGAGAACTAAATGTGGTAAGAATTATTAACAAGAACCGAGCTGAGATGATTATATCTATATTATATAGATGGGCAAAGATATGCTAAGGGTTAAGACGGGATAAGGATAAGGCGCCAGATAGGGCTTAGAATCAAGAAGGAAATTTGTGGTACAAAAAGACAAGAACCGTAAGAGTCTGGGTGGTAATAATTTTATCAAAAAACCGTGGTAGTGTGGATATTTAATTTTTCACCTATTGTTTTAAATCAATTATTTTATTGTAACACATTACATTTATATTACATCTGAAGTGTACTTATATAATAACGATTTTCTTATCTTCCACAACGATTTGCCATTTGTAACGTTATAATTGTAGAGCCGTGTGGAGAAAAAACATATCGGAATGATGCAATGACAAGCTGTGAGACATGTGACGCTGGATTGACACCAAACTCTGACAAAACAGCCTGTGGTAAGATAACTTTAAAGCTTATTAAATTTAATATTATTGTTACGTTTTAAATTTGAATTAACTGTGCTATAGAATGAAAACCGAGGACATTAGTACTCACAATAACTTCTAAATGAGGTAGTTCAAACAAATTGCTGCTTAAAGATTTCCTAATTCTTCAGAGTCATGTCCAGCTGGAAGCTACAAGAACATTGCGGTGAATACATGTGAAGAATGTCCTGATAACACGATCAGTTCAGAAGGAGCAGCCTTGTGCACAGCTTGTGAACTTGGCCAGGAACGAAATTCAGGGAGAACAAAATGTGGTAAGAATTGTTAACAAGAACCCGAGCTGAGATGATTATATCTATATTATATAGATGGGCAAAGATAGGCTAAGGGTTAAGACGGGATAAGGATAAGACGCCAGATAGGACTTAGAATCAAGAAGGCAAAATTGTGGTACGAAAAGACAAGAACCATAAGAGTCTTGGTGGTAATAATTCTATCAAAAAACCGTGGTTGTGTGGATATTTAATTATTCACCTATTGTTTTAAATCTAATTTATTTGTAACAAATCTGAAGTGTACTTATATAATAACGATTTCCTTATCTTCCACAACGATTTACCAGTTGTAACAATATATGACGTTATTATTCCAGAGCCGTGTGGGGAAGGAACATATCGGAATGATGCTATGACAAGCTGTGAGACATGTGACGCTGGATGGAAACCAAACACTAACAAAACTGCCTGTGGTAAGATAACTTTAAATCTTATATTATTGTTATGTTTTAAATTTAATTTAACTGCGCTACAGAATGGTAAACTGTATACAGTATTTGAGACTTGGACCCCCGAGCAAAAGATAGTATAGTTATATTTGAGGTTGCTTGAAACTGAAAGGGTTCGGGTTGGGACCAGGGACAGGAAAACTAAATCGCGGAACTGCAGAAGAGAACATAAGAAATCGTCAAAACAACCCTTTATATTAATCAGTTTAATGTGATTTAATATGACATTTCGACAGTGAGCTGTACGGGACTGAAGGCTGAGTGGAGAACTGCGATCAGAACAACAACACAGTTCCCAGTAGTCCCAGGAACCGTGGTGGAAGTGAATTGTGTTGAATCCAGAGCTCTCAATAAAGGGAGCAGCGAGGTGACCTGCACCTCAGGAACGGAATTTATTTTCGATTTTAATGAACCCGAGTGTATAAATACAGGTATTGTAGAAGCGGATATGCTAAATGACCATAGCATCACTACAAAAGGATAACTAAACTCTTCATACAAACAGGGTAGTATCAGCATAACCGACAAAAGGGGGTAAAATAATGTCGTAAGGGGGAGAGTTGGTTAATGGTTATATTACTATAGAAAACTGATTTAATTTAATCTTACAGTTGATGGGCTATGACAAATAGCTCAGATGATACTGCAATCTAACTTAGATATCTAAATAGGAAAATGTATGTTTGAGTTTTCCGGGTGGAAAAGTATGACAGCAAAAACCCAATACCCATAAGTCCCCAGAAAAGTTATCGCGGTAACCTACTCTGAGATCTCAACACAACAGCATTTGACAAAGCAAAATAAAATGTAAAATCAATTTAAATTCAAAAATTTAACAAAGAATGCATTTTCATTATAACATAGTAAAACACTTTGTTTCATAAATATATTAAATTTAAACTAAAACACTTAATGCAATCGTGAGATGTACGTAGAATCTAGCTCAATGTTACAACATAAACCCTTGATAATATAGTCTAGCAAATATTAGAAACTAACCGCAAATCCGGTGATTTCCATTTCAAATGACAAAAACCAGAAGATCTTCATAAGGTCTAATGATAATCTGATCCTATCTCAAGTTATTAATTAACAACCCCAGGAACAATGACGATGATGTATAAAGTCTATACGAATGTCGACAGAATAGAGATGAACAGGAAGAAAGAGAGAGAATATCAGCTCCAATTAATCTATGAGAATTCAAGGTTAGTATAAAAAAATGTCCACTTAAAGTGTTTGTTTTTTTTCGTCATATACTGCAACACTTTTTTTCCAATTTAACTGTGACAAAATTTTACATTTTGAACATGAACCGTGTTGATTACCAGAAATTACATGTACAATACCAGAAATAATGTGTTACTCGGCAATAAAATCACCATTTCAGAATACAGATTTAACATTAAATTAAATTCAAAATCTATTCAAAGATTTAACAAAGGTTTGATGTATTGCTATAATATCATATTATAACAATTTGTTTCAGACCCTCACTCAGTAGGAACGAACCTTTCAACTGAAAAGATGTGAATCCTTTGTTGACCATTTTATGAGCTGTGAGCAGTTATAAGTACAAGAAGCGGAGGATTACTCTTTTCGTCGAAATCTTTCAAAAAACTGCTCAATTAATATCCAAAAAATTTTAACATTATTAGGCTTATTTTAATACTTCTCATACAAAGTTACAACAAAGTCTTCATGTTATGTATCCTGGGTTTGGACAGGATAATATTACCCGCTTAAAATATTTCCATCGCGTTACATAATACTCAATAAATATAATAAATTTGTAGTGTTGTAATTAGTTTTGAACTGCTGAATTTTATCCAGCCCTAATATATAACAACCTTAGAAAAGCAAACTTATTTGCCTTCGTTTTTAAACCTACTTTCAGCTTTTATCAGCAGCTAAAATTACGGTACGTACCTATACTTAATACATAGAATCTAGTTAATTGTAATAACATACACCATTGATAGCTTGGTGATATTGCAAATATTATAAACTGACTGGAAATCCGGTGCTTTCCATTTCAAATGGCAAAAGCGAGAAGATCTTTATATCGTCAATTAATGATAATTTACTCTTATTTTAAGTTATTAATAACCAACTCCAGGAACAAAGACGATGCTGTATAAAGACTATACGAATGTTCAACAGTAAGAAAGAGAGGATATCAGCTTCAACCAATTAATGAGAATTGAAGGTTAGTAAAAAATGCCCCTTTTTAAAGTGCTTTTTCGTGATAACACTTCTATTGTGCTGAATTCCTAAAATTCAATTGCTGTTTGATACACACATTGATATTATCTAACTTATTTTGAACTTGACTGTGAACAAATTTACTTTCGCATTTTGAACATGAACTGTGCTGATCACTAGAAATTACTTCTTTTGATTGGTCGGCGTCGACTGTAAGCCTTCCTTGCGGTGGCTTTCACAACGCGTCCCCATTCTCCAACTCCTGCTGCTGGAGAGAGAGACTCCCAAATTATATACCATAAATATATTATACATAGATATCGACAACAGACTCCGAGAGTCTTGAAGTGCTGTTACCACCGCCCCTGGTGCAACCCCTTACGGGTTAACGATGGGGAGACAGGGACTTCCAGGGACGGTCAGTGCCTAGAAAAACTGCAAGATGTCCTATTTGTGTTAGTGGTTAATGGGATCCTCGAAAAGATCCTCCTTTAGTAGTCTATTGGTTGCCTTTTTATAACCGTACTAATTCTAGCTGATACTATGTCTTCCCAGGTTAGAAATATATTACCGAAAATTCTTAGCCTAATGGTCATGTATCCTATACAGTGACACATGAAGTGTTCCGAGGTTTCTTCCTCTTCTGGACAGTGTTCACAACGGGGGGATGTGAAATTGTTTGCCTTGTATTGGAAGTAGGCTAGGGGGCTATGTCCTGTGAAGAGCCAGGTTAGCCATCTTTGATGATTTCCTGCAAGTCCAAGATTCCTGTATTTATATTTGGTGAGTAGGATTGTTAGTGGTATTTTCCCTTTTCGCTCAGTGCCGTGTTCCTGTATCTACGAAGATGAATTCCGTGTAAATACTCCTTTACTGCCGTCTTAATTGCTCCTTCGGATATGCTGATGAAGGGTTCAGGACCTAGAGCTATTGTGAGTGATCCTTCTCTGGCTAGTTCATCAGCTCTTTCGTTTCCTGGAATACCTGCATGTCCTGGGACCCACCTGACATTGACTGAGTGGGTTTGTCCTAGTTTGTTAAGGTAGTTAATGGTATCAAGAACTAAGATAGATGTGACCGTGTGGTGTGTGACTGCTAGGATTGCTGCCTGTGAATCTGAAAAGAATGTTATACTCCCAGGTTCTGAAATATTGATAGTTGCCCAGTGAGCTGATGTGTTGAGAGCAAACAGTTCACACTGGTATACCGTTGCATTAGTGCCTAGGTGGAAGCTTTGTCTCTGGACCTCGATTGCGTTTCTTATTACGCAGTAACCTGCACCTGAGAACTGTTCTATTTTTGAGCCGTCTGTGAAAATAGCCCAATGTGTTGCTGGGGTGATTCCGACCTGCTGTGTTGCTTTAGACCGCTCCTGTATTATTGTTTTAAACTTTCGATCCAAAACTGTGGTAGTTTCGATAATGTCCGTAATTTTACATTTCATCGCTGGTAAGGTTGACATAGCTTTGTCCAGATTGTATGCATGGGACTTACAGTTTCCTGTTCTGCTAAACTGGTAGTTAGAATTCCAATTACCGTTAATTTTGAGTCTCCGAGCTGAAAGTATGGCCAGTTCCTTGAGTTTTAGATCAATGGGTTTGATTCCTGCCATGATTTCCAAGTTTTCTAGTGGTGTACTTTTGAGTCCTCTTGATATCATGATACTAGCGTGTCTCTGAATTGCCTGCATCTTGGTCTTTAGGTATTGGGCTTCGTCTATTCTATGCTGCCATGCGAATGCAGCGTAACCTAGAGAAGGGAGAATAATTTGGTTATATATCCATCTCGTCCCTGTAGGTGTAATACCCCACGTTTTGCCAACTGCTCTGTTGCATGCCTGAAGATGTTGTACCGCTTTGTTACATTTCACCTGTATATGCTTCCCCCATGATAGTTTGCTGTCAATGGTTACTCCTAGATAGACTGTATCAGTTACCTGAGGAACCTGATTATTACCTACCATTAGTGGGTTAGTAAGCATATTATCCCTTTTATTTGTAAAAAGGATTGCCTTAGATTTTAACGCACTAAGTTTGAGACCTTTACTGGCACACGACCTGTTGATGTTAGTGAGATGCCGTTGAGAAATTTCCTGAACCGTAGTTTTACAAATTCCGCTGATTAGTATTACCAGGTCGTCCGCAAAAGCTTGGACAAAACTAGTGTGTATTCCTAGTGAGCTGAGGAAAGTGTCCAGCGTTATGTTCCATAGAAGTGGGGACAGAACTCCTCCTTGTGGACTTCCTTTAGTTGCTTTCTTTGTGGTATCGTGACCACAGTATGTGACTGTGATCATCCTGTTACTTACCATGTAGTAGATCCAGTTTGTGATTGTTTCCGGAATCCCTGCTTGTAACAGTGCATCTTTGATTGCCTGAAAACTAATTGCATCAAATGCCTGTTCGATATCAAGAAAGATTCCAAGAGCATAATCACTAGAAATTACATGTACAATACCAGAAATAATGTGTCACTCGGCAATAAAATCACCATTTCAGAATACAGATTACAGCAACGAGCTTCATGGCATAGATAAGTGATGAATACCCTGAAAAAATACACATAACTCCATCACTGTGAGACATATTTGTGTTTATAAACATTTATAAACATTATTCAATGTTAAATACATATTATTTATAAATATGTATTTAACATTAAACAAAATTCAAAATCTATTCAAAGATTTAACAAAGGTTTGATGTATTGCTATTATATCATATTATAACAATTTATTTCAGACCCTTACTCAGTAGGAACGAACCTTTCAACTGACAAAACAAAATGTGAAACCTTTGTAAACCTTGTTAGGCAGCTGCGAATAGTAAGTACAAGAAGTGAAAAATATTCTTCTCGGTTAAATTTTTCTACAAACTGTTCAATAATTATTATTTCATGAAATGTGATCATTTCTACTTTTACGTTCCGAACACGAAATGTTGTGTTTACCAAAAACTACATAATAACAAATTTTTGTCACTCGACCATTTCAGAATCCAGGAACGAGCCTCATGAGTCATGATATTGAAATGAAGATCACGAGAAAAGACACAGACCTCCGCCACTGTGAGATACTGCTGTAACCAGACATTTAAAGCTATCTTAATGAACAATTTGACTAGTAATAGTATCAACCTACCACTGAGGATGGTAAACATTGTACATGTACCGAACAGTAGAACCGGTGTCCCTTTTAACATTTTAAGAAATGCAACCGATGGATAATCGGAACCGGATTAATCATTTTAAACGTTTTCATAAATCTGCATGTATTGCTATTATATCATATTATAACAATTTATTTCAGACCCTTACTCAGTAGGAACGAACCTTTCAACTGACAAAACAAAATGTGAAACCTTTGTAAACCTTGTTAGGCAGCTGCGAATAATAAGTACAAGAAGTGAAAAATATTCTTCTCGGTTAAATTTTTCTACAAACTGTTCAATAATTATTATTTCATGAAATGTGATCATTTCTACTTTTACGTTCCGAACACGAAATGTGGTGTTTACCAAAAACTACATAATAACAAATTTTTGTCACTCGACCATTTCAGAATCCAGGAACGAGCCTCATGATATTGAAATGAAGATCACGAGAAAAGACACAGACCTCCGCCACTGTGAGATACTGCTGTAACCAGACATTTAAAGCTATCTTAATGAACAATTTGACTAGTATCAACCTACCACTGAGGATGGTAAACATTGTACATGTACCGAACAGTAGAACCGGTGTCCCTTTTAACATTTTAAGAAATGCAACCGATGGATAAATGGAACCGGATTAATCATTTTAAACGTTTTCATAAATCTGCATGTATTGCTATTATATCATATTATAACAATTTATTTCAGACCCTTACTCAGTAGGAACGAACCTTTCAACTGACAAAACAAAATGTGAAACCTTTGTAAACCTTGTTAGGCAGCTGCGAATAGTAAGTACAAGAAGTGAAAAATATTCTTCTCGGTTAAATTTTTCTACAAACTGTTCAATAATTATTATTTCATGAAATGTGATCATTTCTACTTTTACGTTCCGAACACGAAATGTTGTGTTTACCAAAAACTACATAATAACAAATTTTTGTCACTCGACCATTTCAGAATCCAGGAACGAGCCTCATGATATTGAAATGAAGATCACGAGAAAAGACACAGACCTCCGCCACTGTGAGATACTGCTGTAACCAGACATTTAAAGCTATCTTAATGAACAATTTGACTAGTAATAGTATCAACCTACCACTGAGGATGGTAAACATTGTACATGTACCGAACAGTAGAACCGGTGTCCCTTTTAACATTTTAAGAAATGCAACCGATTGATAAATGGAACCGGATTAATCATTTTAAACGTTTTCATAAATCTGCATTTATTGCTACTATATCATATTATAACAATTTATTTCAGACCCTTACTCAGTAGGAACGAACCTTTCAACTGACAAAACAAAATGTGAAACCTTTGTAAACCTTGTTAGGCAGCTGCGAATAGTAAGTACAAGAAGTGAAAAATATTCTTCTCGGTTAAATTTTTCTACAAACTGTTCAATAATTATTATTTCATGAAATGTGATCATTTCTACTTTTACGTTCCGAACACGAAATGTGGTGTTTACCAAAAACTACATAATAACAAATTTTTGTCACTCGACCATTTCAGAATCCAGGAACGAGCCTCATGATATTGAAATGAAGATCACGAGAAAAGACACAGACCTCCGCCACTGTGAGATACTGCTGTAACCAGACATTTAAAGCTATCTTAATGAACAATTTGACTAGTATCAACCTACCACTGAGGATGGTAAACATTGTACATGTACCGAACAGTAGAACCGGTGTCCCTTTTAACATTTTAAGAAATGCAACCGATTGATAAATGGAACCGGATTAATCATTTTAAACGTTTTCATAAATTTGCATGTATTGCTATTATATCAATAGTTAACCAGGCTTGCCGATTTCACTGCCACAATTACAAGGTAGAGAATACCGAGTAAACCGCTATGTGACCAATGTACTAAAACAAAATTCATAATCTTCTTGTGGATATAATCATATTAGCTTAGGCACGCAATTTCATGATCATAAAGTCTGAATACGACTATAACTCATCATCCCTTCTTGACCGCTTACCATTTTATTTAAAAACTTTAATAGATATTAACCATGTAAATCCGCACCTCACGCTATTTATTTCGAAACACGCAACATGTCGTATGACTTCTCTCTCAGTCAAAGACCAACATAACATCCCCCCTAATACTTATGGTATAACATTTACAGCGAATCTTCCAGGGTTATGCAGCTCATATATATTTTATTTCAGACCCTTACTCAGTAGGAACGAACCTTTCAACTGACAAAACAAAATGTGAAAGTTTTTGTAAACCTTGTTAGCAGCTGCGAATAGTAAGTACAAGAAGTGAAAATATTCTTCTCGGTTAAATTTTTCTACAAACTGTTCAATAATTATTATTTCATGAAATGTGATCATTTCTACTTTTACGTTCCGAACACGAAATGTTGGTGTTTACCAAAAACTACATAATAACAAATTTTTGTCACTCGACCATTTCAGAATCCAGGAACGAGCCTCATGATATTGAAATGAAGATCACGAGAAAAGACACAGACCTCCGCCACTGTGAGATACTGCTGTAACCAGACATTTAAAGCTATCTTAATGAACAATTTGACTAGTATCAACCTACCACTGAGGATGGTAAACATTGTACATGTACCGAACAGTAGAACCGGTGTCCCTTTTAACATTTTAAGAAATGCAACTGATTGATAAATGGAATCGGATTAATCATTTTAAACGTTTTCATAAATCTGCATGTATTGCTATTATATCATATTATAACAATTTATTTCAGACCCTTACTCAGTAGAAACGAACCTTTCAACTGACAGAACAAAATGTGAAACCTTTGTAAACCTTGTTAGGCAGCTGCGAATAGTAAGTACAAGAAGTGAAAAATATTCTTCTCGGTTAAATTTTTTACAAACTGTTCAATAATTATTATTTCATGAAATGTGATCATTTCTACTTTTACGTTCCGAACACGAAATGTGGTGTTTACCAAAAACTACATAATAACAAATTTTTGTCACTCGACCATTTCAGAATCCAGGAACGGGCCTCATGATATTGAAATGAAGATCACAAGAAAAGACACAGACCTCCGCCACTGTGAGATACTGCTGTAACCAGACATTTCAAGCTATCTTAATGGACAATTTCACTAGTATCAACCTACCACTGAAGATGGTAGACATTGTACACGTACCGAACAGTAGAACCGGTGTCCCTTTTAACATTTTAAGAAATGCAACCGATTGATAAATGGAACCGGATTAATCATTTTAAACGTTTTCATAAATTTGCATGTATTGCTATTATATCAGACTAGTGTAACCCGGCCTTCGGCCGGGATTTCACTGCCACAATTAAAAAGGGTAGGAGTAATTACCCGCTGAGTCAAAACCCGCACTAGGTGACCCAATAGTATCTTAAACAATAATCTCATAATCAGTTCTTTCTTGTGGATAATTAAGTCATAATTAGCCATTATGCACCACATTTCATGATCATAAGGTCTGAATACCGACTATAACACCTCATCACTCCCTTCTTGAACCGCTTTCCATTTTTATTTAAATCTTTATAGAAATTAACCCTTGTTAACTCCGCACCACACCCGCCTATTATATTTGAAAACACGCATAACATTGTCGTATGAACTCTCTCTCTCTACAGTCCAAACAGACCCCAAACACTAACAGTCCCCCCTCCCCTAATAAACTTATGGTATAACATTACAGCGAATCTTCCTGGGCTTATGCAGCTACATATACAGTAATGAGAGAGAGAGAGAGAGAGAGAGAGAGAGAGAGAGAGAGAGCGAGCCCCGTAACTCTTGCCGTTCTGCTCAAGCCATTTTATGTAACATTTGTGGTACAAAACCATCAATTAAACCACTTACCACCTGCCGATTTTTAAAAAAATTACCATTTGACTTCCTCATAGTTTTGTCGGCACTATACCGAAAAAACCGGCCCCGTAACTCTTACCGTTTTTTTTATTAAGCCGCTCGGAAATTGCACACAGACGAACAGACGAACAGAAAAAACACATTCTGATATTATTAAGGTGATTATAACAATTCATTTCAGACCCTTACTCAGGAGGAACGAACCTTTCAACTGACAAAACAAAATGTGAACCCTTTGTAAACCTTGTTAGGCAGCTGTGAATAGTAAGTACAAGAACTAAGAAGTGAAAAATATTCTTCTCGGTTAAATTTTTCTACAAACTGTTCAATAATTATTATTTCATGAAATGTGATCATTTCTACTTTTACGTTCCGAACACGAAATGTGGTGTTTACCAAAAACTACATAATAACAAATTTTTTTCACTCGACCATTTCAGAATCCAGGAACGAGCCTCATGATATTGAAATGAAGATCACGAGAAAAGACACAGACCTCCGCCACTGTGAGATACTGCTGTAACCAGACATTTTAAGCTATCTTAATGAACAATTTGACTAGTAATAGTATCAGCCTACCACTGAAGATGGTAAACATTGTACACCGTACCGAACAGTAGAACCGGTGTCCCTTTTAACATTTTAAGAAATGTAACCGATTGATAAATGAAATCGGATTTTTTTGAGAAATTAAATCATTTTGAACGTTTTTATAAATCGGCATTCACCGAGAAATTTAGAGATTTATTTTGAAATTTAAAAAATAAATGTTGTGTGAAGTGTGATTATTTTTTTAAAAGGTGTATATTATTACTTACCATTTTTAACTGATGTTTTTAAAAATAAGAAATTTCAATAAATTTTACTTTACAATTTACATTACTTTTTTACTGACGTATTTCTCCATAAATTAAGTACAATAGCGTGAGTAGCTTTTGTCAAGAGTGATCTTAAACGGTTCCCCGTTCAACTTAATACTTAATCAAGGAATTTATAGACATATTTCATACGTATCAAATTGGATATGCTTTCGGCGAAGATATAACCTGTGCCTAATATTGATATGGCACTACACAAGGGCAAGTTCGTGTCATGTCACAGACATAATCAGTGCTCTCTTGTTAGTATTCAGTATCCAAAGGCAAGTCACTCGCACCTGTTACCTGTAGGTCAACTCTTGGCTTACCTGGGGACCTCAGGCTATTATGTTCATAAACATGTAGAACAGAATAGAGATTCGGCGGAATGACAGGCCCAGTAACTCTTGGCAACCTCACATTAAGACCATAGCAAATGCAGGGCTCGGCAAACCCAGCAAACCTTACTGGCTGGGCGTTTTACTATAGAGGTGATTGCGTCTTTCTTCACAGCGAGCTCATGCTCGCGCCCGTGCTTAAGTTTGTTGCTCGCGTGATGCATTCCAGCCTCACGTGACACAATTCAGTCAATCAGAGGACTAGAATCTGCAAAGTTAAAGATGCGAACTTTTATTAGGCCCAAAATAAGACTTTTTGGGATAACTCAAAATCTACAATGTCTCTAATTTTCCTCCTGGGGAGGAAACGTTATTTTTACAAGGAACATTTCGCAAAAAACCGGAAGTTTCTATCTATTTTACTTTTGGAGAAAACCTTACCAGCTCCAGCCGGTAAGGTTTCCTGGGAAAAGCTGCCTTGGTTTTCAGTTTCTTTCAGATGAGATCAATCTGGTCATAATCAATAATGTCACACTTTCCAAGTCGATGGTTTGGTCCCTGTAACCACGTTTTAAAGAAGGTGTGGTCCCTGTATCCCCGTTTTAAAGAAGGTGTGGTCCCTGTAACTATGGGTGACGTGACTAATCAATTGCCGTATCTCAATTCCGTCTTTGCACAGAACAGTTTTTTGTTTCAATTTCGCGCTAGAGAAGCTAAACATGGAAACCCTCAGCCTCTGGGCTTGTCAGAGTATGCACAGTTATTAATCAGAGTTTACTTATAATATAACTCTATAATATAACTCTATAATATAACTCTATAATATAACTCTATAATATAACTCTATAATATAACTCTGATAATATAAAAGATAGTAAAGTTATGACACTTCAGCTTGTTATAAACACACTGTCCTGAGTTATTGATAATTATAATCTAGCGTCTGCTCCGCAACTTTGTGATACTAACGTTTGTGATACTTCAAGAAAGTGAGTAGCTTTTGTGATGCTAAATCTGCAACACAGATGTGCTTATTTTCTTTCAGGATTCAACACATTTTTAATGAAATTGAGATCTTCTTACCTGTACAAATGACAGTGATGGTTCATAAACAGATTTCTACGGCAAGCATCCCAACACTCCAGCTTGAAATTATAAAGCCACTGTCCTGATAATTATAATCTCAATAATCTCGCTACTTTGTACGAACGTCATCCATATTGTATGATGAAACGAATGGTTTTCTCTTTTTATTGTTTCAGGATAGCTTAATTAGCCGTTGGCCGATCTATTTTTAGATAAATCCACTATAGAATTTTCCAGAACCTAGAGTCCTAGAGTGTTTAATTTTCTTTAGCCCTCAGAATGTTGATCCAATAGGTATAATGTGTATCATGGAAACTTTCGATTGGATAATTTAATTAACTCGTTGATTGCTAATTATTTCTGGATGCAAAATTGAAGCACTTACAGTTACAGAATCAAAATATCAGCTGCGTCGGACGATCTTTGATACATCGATTTAATCATAAAAACTGGACGTAGAATTTGATAAGTCTGCAAGCATGACCATACTCTAACATTTCAAGTAGTAGAGGCTACAAAATGCTCAGAGCTAGCTGTCTAATTATTTTGACGGACAAACTGCTGACATATTTTGTAGCTTATCATGTCAGTATCTCCGTGTTGGTTGTTTCCGCGCAAACATGGTAAGCTTATTTTGGTTACTTTGCAGGTGTCTCAACTTCTCAATAATGCCATTTCATACCGCTTGTTGACCATTGTTAATGATCAGGCCCGGCGCGCGCTACTTCTTCGAGAAGAAAGCGGCGCGCGCTACTTCGAAGAAATTTAGACGAGTAACATCCGTCAAACCGCTTGTTGCAGAACACCCAACCCTGGTATCTCTGGTTACAACAACAATATCCCTGGTAAGGGTCTGCCCACACTACGCCTCTATTCCCCGAAGGTCTGCCCACACTACGCCATATGTGGCGTGGGTCAAACTCAAACTAAAAAAAACCGGATTCACACAACGAGGCGCGTAGTGTGTTTAAAGCTCCCGCCAGTTGGCGTGGAAACTCTCGGGGAATAGAGGCACGGATTTTTTAAATCCGTGCGTCTATTCCCCGTCTGAATTATAGTTTTCTCCGCATAAAGTTTCCATGCGTCATACTGAAC